GATGTGTTTGGGAAAATTAACAGGGAACAGAGTTTGCATGGCTGCTTGAAATCCTAGAAAGTCTTGGAAAACTGCTTTAACAAAATCCATTGCTGGAACACCCTGGAAAATCGATATTTTACTATAGGGTTATGGAAAGTCGTGGATTTTTTTATTTGGGGAATTTTTTTTCTATTTACTTGTTGCATTCCACATTTTTGAATACTGGCCTTTACAGTTATGTCAGATGTGACCTAACTCAACTGGATATATTGTTTGTGTTTTAGATTGGCTCATCACCTTGTCAGACAAGTATATTCTAATGTGAGTTCTATCTTATCAGATCTGGTGGGCAAGACTGTGGTTGTTTCTTAATAACAGTTTAGTTGTGTGATTAGTTCTTGAGTGCTTTCATCAATATGATTTAAATTCACTTCAAAATCTCATAAGTGTCATTCTAATGAAGGATGTCTTGAAAACAAGGCCAACAATGACTGGCTGAAAGAAGAAAAAAGCAATCAGTATAAAGCATGATGTCAGTATTGTGTGAAAAGCTTTGATATCAGCAACGTGAGTGAGTTGGCATCAAAAAGTCACAGGCAAGGTCAAAAACATAGTAATTTAAATAACAGCAAAGAGGACAGCACAATGAACATTAAAAATTACTTTTGTATCATCAGTTAAATCATCTCTGTGTAGGTACATCCACAAGTACTAGTACAAGGGCTTCTAGTAATTAAATTACAAGTGCCTCTGGGTCAGTGTTGTTTTTGTAACTAAAGCCAGTTTCTTAAAGTCTGAAATAACATGGTTATTAAAGAACAAGTAAAACTACTATCGATACAAATCATGTGAAAGAATTAATAAACTGTTTCAGAAGATGTTCCCAGGCAGTGAAATAGTTAAATCATTTTCTTTTTGAAAATAAAAATTTGCTGTTTACATTTGTTGCTATGGTATTGCTTCCTATTTCAAGACCACTTTATTGGAGCTAATCAGCGAAGTTTGTGTTGTTGTGTGATGAGAGTCTGAACCATAACTCCCTCGACGTGGATTCCTGTATGTGGTGAGGGGACCTCTCGGGGGGAAGGTTCTGTATTTTCAGTTACTTCCTCTGGGATCTAAACATCCACCCACGTGTTTGCTGTGCGTGGCGACCCATGAAGGGGAGGAGAGGATGCTGGTGGTTGAGTGGTGTCTGGGGTACTGCAACACACCACTTTGGTCTTGAATTCCTGTAGACGGGTGGCCTTGGGGTGGCCCCCCCAGGGTCAATCGGCTGGTCCACTCGGGCTAGGGTCAACTGAGTACCAGTGTTGGGCATTCTCAACGGGTGTTGTGGATATCGTGTCTGATGCTAATGTTTGGGTATAGTGCTCACTAAACCCTGGCATAGCTGCAGTGTCCTTGTTTGACATTGTAGTGCATCCCCCCGTGGAACTCCATGGCAGGTGAGGTCATTGGGCACTGAATCTTTCTCCTTAATTATGGATCCCCCCAATCCAAATAAAAAAAATGTTAAAACTCTGCTAATCGGTAAATGACCACGCCTAGAAGACTCTGAACAGCGGTCTTCATCACAAAGTACACCTGTACCTCATTTCCTGATCCTGCATTCACTGTCCAAAAAATCTTCAGGTCAAATGTCTCCCTTTTTTATTCAAAAGGGCTTAGAGGGGCTTGCTGGCTCTCCAAAGTCAGTTAAGAAGCTCTGTTCTGGAGACATCTTGGTTGAAACATCCACAGCTAAGCACAGTGAACTCTTCTTTAATTCAAAGGCTATTGGGGATATACCCATTGAGGTTACTCCCCACGCTTCCTTGAATTCATCACGAGGAGTTCTTGTTGAAAGGGACTTGAAGTCTATCCCTGAGTCAGAGATCCTTGCTGGTTTCTCCAGTCAAGGAGTTTCAGCAGTTTGAAGGATCTCCACTCGTCAAGATGGTATTATGGTGCTGACCTCAGTTCTGATTTTGACGTTTTCATCACCACGTCCACCTGCCGTTGTTAAGGCAGGTTATTTGAACTGTTAAGGTACGGCTTTATATTCCCAACCCTCTCCAATGTTTTCAGTATCAGCGGTTTGGTCATTCAAAGATATCTTGTCATGGTTCTGTGACATGTGCTCGTTGTGGTGGCAAGGACCAGGACGCCTACGAATGCAAACTGGACTTTCACTGTGTTAATTGTAGTGGTTCCCACCCCTCTTACTTTAGGTCTTGCTCTAAATGGGTGGAGGAGAAAGAGGTACAGTGTTTGAAGACTGTTCACAACATTTCTTATCTAGAGGCTTGGAAGCTATTGTCCCCTACTCCATCTCGGACATATGCCACTGCACTACACTCCACTGCTACAGTGGGAGTGCAGACGGACCTTTCCGTGCCTCCACCTGAGTCTTTTTCACGCCATGTGAGAGGTCTTCTGCCCTCCATGGATAATAGAGTTGATAGGTCTATGTCTACTCCAATCTCTGTCCCCACTATTCCTTCCAGTGACTGCCTGGATCATCCTCTTCGGGCACCAGCCATTGGTGTCCATGCAGGTCCTTCTTTGGTACCTAAATGCAGGACGATCAATCGATCACGTCCTCAGTCATTGGATTCTCACTGATGACAGGGATCTGCCCACTCGTTCAAGGGCAGGATCCATGGAGGTTGATCGACCTCTATCTAGTAAAGAAAAATGGCGTGGTCGTAAACCGAAGGGTTCTCCACCCTGTTCTCCTAAACCTACATAAAAATGGCCACTTTGATACAGTGGAACTGTCGAGGTTTTCGTTCTAATCTCAATGACATTAAGGCCTTGATTGACTCCTATCATTTTGTGTGTCTCTCCTTACATATGCCCTCCTTATCTGTGTCCCTCGATACATTCTTGGAGGCCGTAGCCATCCGTGTTTCCTTTGGTTGTACCATCACTGTTTGTTCTCTCTACCTGTTTCCTGGGGAGACTTTTGATCAATTGGACCTTGATGCTCTCGTTGACCAGTTGCCATCTCCCTTTTTACTTCTGGGAAACTTTAATGGACACAACTACCTCTGGGGTGGTGCTGATATTGATGGGAGGGGTCGTTTCTTAGAATGTATGCTCTCGGATCACAATCTTTCTTTCTTCAATACTGGAACATATACTTATTTTCATGCACTTAGTCAGTCTTTTATTGCCATTGGTATCTCAATTTGCTCCCCTTCGCTTTTCATTCACTTTTCTTGGATGGTCGACAGTGACCCATGGGGCAGTGATCATTTTCCTATCATTATGAGGGAGGTTGGCCATGGTCGATGCCACTTGACCTGAATGCCACGGTGGAAGCTGGACCAGGCTCTCTGAACTTGATCCTGCCTTCATCTGTCTGCCATCAATAGATGACTGTGTGGTTGCAGTGACTGACTGTATTGTCCAGGCAGCTGCTCATTTTATTCCTAAGAATTTGACACTTTTCCAAGGTATCCTCATCCATGGTGGAGTCCTGCTTGTCAGGAGGCATGGAAGGCTCAAAAATGGGCCTGGGATACCTTTTGACGGTATCCCTCTCTTTCTAACTGCATTGTTTATCAGCAGGCCCTTGCCCTTGCTAGGCAGGTTCGATGTCAAAGCCAAAAGGAGTCTTGGATTATGTTCACTACTAGCATTTTTCTACCACCAGTTCCAAAACTGTATGGGACAAGATTTGGAAAGTCACTGGGAGGTATGCTTCCCATCTCCTTTCCATCTTGCTCTCTAATGGTCAGGAAGTTGCTGATGTCCAGAGCATTGCTGATGCTCTTGGCCACAGCTTTTCTTGTGCTTCTAGCACTTTTGTTTCCTCCCCTGCCTTCATGGCCATCAAGTCTCGGGCAGGGAGATTGCCTTTTTCCTTTCGGACTGATCGTCTCTATGATTATAATTGCCTCTTTACACTGGTGGAACTCAAATTTGCTCTTCATCGGTCTGGTAGTACATCGGTTGGACCTGATGATGTTCATTATGAGATGTTGTGCCATCTCTCTCCTGCCTCTTTTGTTATTCTTCTTGTTATTTTCAACCGGATTTGGCAGGAGCATGTTTTTCCTGATGCTTGGCACCAGGCTATTGTTTTCCCCTTCTCTAAACCTGGGAAGGATCCCAAGATTCCTTCTAATTATCGTCCTATTGCTTTGACTAGTTGTCTTTGTAAGGTCCTATAGA